GGCTTTGCAGTCTGGCGCATTAACCCACAGCGCCACACCAGGACTCCATACCTGTGAATATGGTGTATGAATTCTGTGTGCCCATTGCAATGAATTCTCAAACTCACTGGAGTAAGGAGTGCTATATCATGGATGATTTGGTGCACACAGTAATCCCTCAAGCGGCTGATCCAGAACACATTTTGTTTCATCTTGAGCTCTCTTTTCAAAAGAGTCAACCTTCATCACTCATTAGATAGGAAAGTGTCAGATTGTGGGCTGTACATCTCTTTCCCTTCCTCTAATCCTCTAATCTACTTGGAAAAACCCAAGTAGAGATGGCAATTTGTTGCAGGAATCACCACTCACAAACCACGACCCTCACTTGACCCCAGACCCAAAAGGTCCTGGTCCCTTACCTTGGGATTAGCCTCATCTAAGAACTCAGCAAGCACAGTGGGTTGGGGGGAACTTGTGCTGCAGACCATAGGAACTTAATGGACAGACTATAGATATTGGAAACTCAAGACCAGGTGAAACAGGGAACCAAGAGGTGGATGTCAATATGGGGAAATAGGGACAGGTGGGAGAACTCAGCTACAAAGAAATGGAGAGACCAAATGACTGCCTCTGTGATGTGAAGAGGTTTGGTTACATGAACAAAATCCACTGAAGGCAGCAGTGGCTGAGCAGGTTGACCTAGGTTTCCTTAGAGTCCCTTAGAATCATTGAGGAGGGCCAAGAATTCATGTGAGGCTCAAGTCCCTTCAGCATCAGGACAGGAGGGTTAGGGAGGGAAGGCAGCATACAGGAAGCTAGGTGAATTATTTAAGAGGCAAGCTTTTTACAGGCAAGGACGATTTTCAAGCCCTGGGATCTAATGACATTTGCCCTGCTGGGTTTTGAACTTACTTTGAACTTGTGACCCCTTCTTTCCCACTTCATTTCTCCCTTTCAGAATCCCAATGTTTACCCTATGCCTGGGACACTATTGTAATGTGTATACTAGATTTCACAGGCCCACAAATAGAGAAGAATTCTGCGCCCATGATGGATTATACCCAGACTTTCACCCGTGCCTGATTTAGATGCTTTCGAAGGTGAGTTTTTTTAAATTTAAGAGTTCATGCTGAACTAGGTAAAGACTTTTGGATATGCTGGGATGAGGTCAAAGCATTTTTCACGTGGGAAGGACATGAATTTTGGAGATCAAAGAGCAGACTAGAATACGAGTTGGATTGAATTGCACCTCACAAAAAGATATTTTGAATCCCTAACTCCCAGTTCTTGTGAATGTGACCTTATTTGTAAATGGTCTTTGATGATGTTACCAGTGAGCATGAGACCCTACCAGGGAGCTGTATCCTAATCCTAAATGGTTCTTATAAAACAGTAGAAAAGACAGACAGTAGGACAGAGGAAAGACAGACATGTGATGTGTCTACATGCCATCTAATATCTGACAGAAACCAAGGGAAACAAGAGTCTTCCCCTAGGACCTTCAGGAAGAACATGGTCCTATCATCACCTTGTCTCCTGAACTATGAAAAAAATGACTATTTTTATAAGTAAACCAATTTGTGGCATTTTGTTACAGCAACTCTACAAAAGTAATACATATGAATCACCTGAGGGGTCAGGGATGGTCGACTCTAATTAAAATGTGCATTCTGATTCAGTATATCTGGGATAGAAATGTAGATTCTCAGCAGGAATCAAACCAGAACAAACTGGTTCAAAGCCTTGATCTCAAACAAGACAGAAACCCCTGGAGTGCTCACCCTTCACCAGCCAAGTGAGCGAGCGATGGTCCATGTGTTTGTATTCAAAAAAGTGAAAGGACCATCAAGTAATAGTCACAGCTCTTCCTGTCCAGGGACACAAATCGTATTTTTCAACCAATTTGAAAATGATAATAATATCTACCTTTATTCAGTGTTTGCAGTATGGGAAGCATTATGATCACTGTATTACATATACTATCTCTTTTGATTTTCACACCAGTCTTAAATGAGGTAGGCTGTGTTATGCTGAGAGTCAGCTTCATTCAGATAGCTTACAAGCTGGTAAACTAGCAGTTTAAAAGCCCACATGCAAACCCAGGACAGTGTGATTTAAGAGACCAAGTTCTCAGTCATTAAGCTACGCTACTACAGGAGAGCATTGCCTTTTGAAGGACGGTGGTCAAATGCTCGAAAAGATGATGTGAACCTGCCTCAGAGCAACAAGAGCAGCCCAGCCAGCGATTTCCACGCCTCTCTGTGTATGTTGCTGTCTTACAACTTCTGGTCTGGTTTTTCCACATCCTCGTGGTCCTGTTACCATAATAGATGCTGGGCAAAATCTGATCAATTTGGAGAATTCCTACTTATTGATCAGTAAGATTGTTTCTTCTGAAATCAGCTTTCTTTATGGTAATTGGCCTGGTGTGGCACCCTAGGATAAACACCCAACCTCAAGGTCAGTTTGAACTGCAAGGTCGGCAGTTCAAAATCACCAGCCACTTGAAAACCCTGTACAGGGTCACTATGAGTCGGAACTGACCACGGCACTTAACAACCACCACCGTCTTCCTCAGCATGAACTAGTCCCAAACTCTGTGTATATCTTGTATGCCTGTTTGATCGTCAACTAGAATTAGAAAAGCTGGAATTCTGAGGTAAAGCACACATGCCTATCTGACAGAAAGAGCTCCGGAGTGACTAACAACAAAAGGAAAACTTTGCAGAGATGCTGACTTACTGATTTCTAACTGCATTTTGCAGATCCAGGACCGTGTAAGACTAAGCATTTTCTTCCCGCCTTCCTATTTCATTCCCACACTGTGTGACTTGAGGATTCATGTGTCGAAGACTGGGGCCTCTGCTTACCTGTGAGCGGCAGCTGTCCTCCCAGCCAGGAGCAGACAGTCAGTATGATTCTCACTGAAGTGAGGAGACAAACACATTTGTTTTCAAATACTAATTTATTAATGTTTATCCTTTACTCATAAAAAAACAACAACAAATTTTTGGCTTTGAAATCATGACATAATGTAAAAAAAATCAAATAATTGAAAATTATCAGCTGAAAGTAGGTAGAAGCAACTCATGCTCAACCAAGAGCAAAGGCTGCGTGCTTTGGGCTGTCGCAGGAAGATTGCTAAATACATGGGCCCAAGATGCAGCGCCAACTCAAGAACCAAGCCACCGCTGAGCGCTTATTCCTAAAGGGAGTTCGGTCTTTCTGTAGATCATAGGAAATGAATTCCTCTGTCTCCCCCTTTTCTTCCTGACATTTGGTGGCATAAACAGCAGGCGATGCTCCTTTGATGCCAGTCTTTCTAGTTGGTAGAAGTGTGGTGGTGACGTTGTTGAACAGGTTTACCCTACGCATTTTCAACCTTTGGAAAAAGTAAAATTGCTAATTGCAACTGAGACTGTAAGCCATTTCTATTTTTGGTCAGTGATCTGTTGCAGGCAGAGCTTCATGTAGGAATTTTTGTTGCGGATTTCTATGACGGCGTCCCTAACAAGCTCAATAAACATCTGAGGCCAAAGCTTATGCAAAGCCTCGTTTTTCATGTTGATTTCGGTGGCTTCCTTTACAAGGTCCTCTATGTACATCTTGCAGAATTTATTTTTTTCCTTTATTTCCTGTTAGACAAAAAGCAAAAAAGGTCTACATTAAATGATGAATCCAAAAGACAATGTTGCTTTCAACTATGAATCCAAAGCAACAATCAGCTGAAGCAGAGAAATTAAGATGATTTGCCCTGAGGCCCCCACCCCTGGTCTCCTTCCCAGAGCAGGAGCACCTGCCTAGACAGCGCTGCCGGAATAAAGGCCGCATTGGGGAACTCATTAGTCCCAGTCCGCTGGGCAGCTCCCTTCCCTGTATTGGAACTGCTGACTACTATTTTGCTACACTTTCTCCCTCCTCAGTTCAGGTATTTTAGTTCACACAAGTCAGCAAAAGCACAGACCCACCGGCTTCAAAGGATAAATGCAAATCAGATAACTGATATTGACAATTGTAGCTGTCAGTTAATATCCATATGTGTATTTTATATATTGTTGTTGCTAAGTACCTTTGAGTCAATTCTGACTCATAACAACCCCATACAGGGTTTCTGAGGAGCAGCTGGTGGGTTTGAGCCACCGTTCTTGTGGTTTGCAGTCCAGTGCTTATCTTACAGCCCCACATCAGGGGTCCATTGTGTACAGACATATTCTCAGTGCTCTGATTTCCTCATTATAGGAAAGTATACTAAACTGATGCATGTGGCAGAGACGATTTGGACTTAGTTATGGAAAAGTCCATAAGGAGAAAGTGGAAGTCGATACAAGGTTGACACCCAGAGCTTTGACTTTAAAAGAAACAGCGCTCCCGCTCAGTTTCTGGGGCCAGCAGTGCGTTATGAAAAACCAGGGTTCTGAACACAACAGAGCAAATTTGGGGCCAGAGAATAGTTGGGCATTGGATCCCAATTTCATCGCAGAGTTCCAAACCAAACCATTTTGCTGAATGTACTATTTCAATACATGTTTTGATTTTTGAAACTTTGGGAAAATTATCAAAGTACAATCATGGAAAATGTTTATCATAATACATACAGAAAAATCAATTGAATGTGATCAGATAATCAGATTTATAAGGGAAGTAATTCACATCAATAAAGGAAAAAAAAAGAATAAATATCAATAATATATTTAGGTACTTTGAAAAGGATCTGTTTAAACCTCTACTCCACATTAAAATATTAAAGGGTTGAATTTAAAATATCAATAGATATTATAATTAAAATTACTCTTATGAAGATTTGCAATAACAAGGAAAATGTTTACAAGGCTAAGTGAAAAAAACCAAAAGGCAAAATGAAATCATAAATAGGTGAAAATCAACAGTATTATTTTTATAGGGTTTGGGCTGTATGAGTATATATGCATTTGTCAAAACTCAGCAATTGTATGCCAAATATTTGTATTTCATTGTATATAAATTTTATCTCAAAAGAAAAATTTTTCAAAATATCAAATATTGAAATCTAATTAATGAAATGTATGCTGGATGATTTAGGGAGATGGTTACTGATGTAATTGATTTATTTTTTCTTCCATGTCTACCTATGTATTAACTTACGGATGTTGTCTGTTTTGACCATTGTAGCAGGACTGTGTTTACAGCAGTATTTACCTATGTTGCCTTTTACTCCTGTGCAGACAGAACATGTACACTGGATATTTACAATGCCAACAGAGGAATCTAGGTTTACAGTGCTGATATTTACTGTACAATGCTTTCCACCTTCATTGTATGTTTAAAATGTTCATTAAAAAGTTAAAAAATATATACTGAAAACAATTGGAAGCAAATATACTTTGTCAGTTTCATTCACATTATCAAAGTTGTCTTTAGGTCAGGAGACCTGAGTGGTTTTCCTCCTGTTTGTTTTATTTCTTCTCCTTTTTCAAATCTGTATGATTTTAAGACAATACAACATATTAATAAATACATGATCAATTAATATAAGTTAATAGTGACTCTAAATTGTCACTAACTTTCCCTGAAAAGGTATATTTTAGAAATTTCTCTAAATAGTCAGTTACCATTCAGGGCAAAGAAGAAGGATCAGTAGTTGGAAAACATGGCCTTGGTGATAGAAATGATGCTAGATATCGCATGATAGAATTCTGAAAAATCAATGATTTGTTCATCTCAAATCCCTTCTTTAGACAGCATAAGAGACAATTATACACATGGACCTCACCAGATGGAATACACAGAAATCAAATTGGCTACATCTGTGGAAAGAGACAATGGAAAAGTTCTATATCATCAGTCAAAACAAGGCCAAGGGCAGATTGTGGAAGAGACCATCAATTGCTTATATGCAAATTCAAACTGAAGCTGAAGAAAATGAAAACAAATCCACGAGAGCCAAAATATGACCTTGAATATATCCCTCCTGAATTTAGAGATCATCTGAAGAACAGATTTGATACATTAAATACTAAAGACCGAAGACCAGAAGAGATGTGGGATGACATCAAGAATATCATATGTGAAGAAAGCAAAAAGACATTAAGAAGACAAGAAAGAAGGAAAAGATCAAAATGGATGTCAGAAAAGACACTGAAACTTGCTCTCCAGAGTAGAGATGCTAAAGCAAATGGAAGAAATGCAGAGGTACAAGAGCTGAACAGAAAATTTCAAAGGTCAGCTTGAGAAAACAAAGTAAAAAATTACAACAAAATGTGCAAAGCTCTGGAGTCAGAAAACCAAAAAAGAAGAACAACATGCTCAGTATTTCTCAAGCTGTGGGAACTGAAGAAAAAATTCAAGCCTTTCATTATTGAAGGATTCTCTGGGGAAATTATTGAATGATGCAGAAAGCATCAAAAGAAGATGGAAGGAATACACAGTCATTGTACCAAAAGGAACTGGTTGATGCTCAACCATTTCAAGAGGTAACATGTGATCTAGAGCCAATGATACTGAAGGAAGAAGTCCAAGGTGCATTGAATGACAACCAGAGATTGACATACGTCGCAGCACCTCCCTGAATTAAGTCAACAGAAAGAAGAATTGTTAACAAAACAAAACTATAAGAACAAACTCAGAGAGTCTGGGAGGTCAGTCTATGATCAAAACAAGTACAATGCAAAAGAAGGTGAACAAATAGGAACTGAGATCCAGACAGTGAGAAGGTCAGGTCGATTACAGGATAAAATAGACTGCACTAAATGGGCAGAAAAGTCAATGGACTATAAGGCAACCTCAAAGAAAATTAACACTTCACAAAATACCAAGAGAATGAGAATCCAAGAAGAATATGAAAACATTAAAACTATGAGGAAACTCACAAGAAAGAACACACAAATCAAGAATTCAACAGAGAAAGACAAGACGCATCTCACACACAGAGACAGAAACAGATTAAAAGTGAAAGGCTGGGAAAAAATATACCAAGCTAATTGCAATAAAAAGCGAACATGAGTGGCAGTGCTAATCTCGGATAAAATAAACTTTAAGGCAAAAGCCAGCATAATAGATAAAGATGGACATTATCTCATGATTAAAGGGACAATTGAACAAGATGAAATAACCATAATAAATATCTATGCTCCCAATGAAGACCACCAAAATATATAAAACAAGGTGCATTAAATGAATTGGCAAAGAACAAGGCTCCAGGAATTGATGGAATAAGAATTGAAATCTTTCAAGAAAGTGAGGTGGCACTGGAGGCACTCACTCATCTATGCCAAGAAATTTGGAAGACAACTATCTGGCCAACTGACTGGAAGAGATCCATATTTGTGCCCATTCCAAAGAGAGGTGACTCAACCGAATGCGGAAATCATCGGACAATATCTTTGATACCCATGCAAGTAAAGTTTTACCAAAGGTAATACAGAAATGGCTGCAAGCATACATTGACAGAGAACTTCCAGAGTTCAAGCTGGATTCAGAAGAGGCTGTGGAATGAGAGATATCATTGCTGATATCTGATGGATCTTGGCTGAAAGCAGAGAATATCAGAAAGATGTTTACCTGTGCTTTATTGTCTGTGCAAAAGCTTTTGATTGTGTGGATCATGACAAGCTATGGACAACATTGTGAAGTATGAGTATTCCAGAACACTTAATTGTGTTCTTGAGAATATGTACATGGACCAAGAGGTAGTTGTTCGAACAGAATATGGGAACACTGAATGGCTTAAAATTAAGAAAGGTGTATGACAGGGTTGTATTCTTTCACCTTACTTATTCAACTTGTATGCTGAGCACATAATCCAAGAAGCTGTGATATATGAAGAAAAACGTGGCATCAGGATTGGAGGAAGACTCATTAACAACCTGCCATATGCAGATGATACAACCTTGCTTGCTGAAAGTGAAGAGAACTTAAAACATTTACTAATGAAGATCAAAGAGCATAACCTTTGATATGGATTACATCTCAATGTCAAGAAAACAAAAATCCTCACCACTGGACCAATAAACAACATTCTTTTCAATGGAGGAAAGACTGAAGTTGTCAAGGACTTCATTCTTCTTGGATCAACTATCAACACTCATGGAAGCAGCAGTTAAGAAATCAGAGGACATATTGCACTGGGAAAATTTGTTGCACAAGACTTTTTTTAAAAAGTGTTGAAGAACAAAGATGTCAGCTTGAAGACTAAGTTGTGCCTGACCCAAGCCATGGTATTTTCAATAACCTCATATGCATGTGGAACCTGGAATAAGGAAGACCGGAGAAGAAGATGCTTCTGAGTTATGGTGTTGGAGGAGAATATTGAAAGTGCCATAGGCTGCCAAAAGGACCAACAGATCTGTGTTGGAAGAAGTACAGCCAGAGTGCTCCTTGGAGGCCTGGATGGCCAAACTTCATCTCTCATACTTCGGACATATTGTCAGGAGGGCCCAGTTGCTGGAGAAGGATATCATGTTTGGTAAGGTGGAGGGTCAGAGAAAAAGAGGAAGACCCCCAGCAAGATGTATTGGCAAAGTGGCAGCATCAATGGGCTCAAGCATGGCAACAATTGTGAGGTCGGCCCAGGACTGGGCAGTGTTGCATTCTGTTGTACATGGGGTCACTGTGACTTGGTACCGACTTGATGGCACCTAACAACAACAACAACTTTCAG